CTCTTGAAGGAAACACAAAACCAACCAGAAGTCTCTGTGAGACTGGTCAGCTGATGTTTCTCTGAAAGGCAGAGAATAAAGAGTAAGCCTCACATTTCGCAACATTAATTGATTGACGTTAACGGAACCCCCAACAACAACAACTAGATAAATTCACCCACCTGAAACCAATGTCTATTGCAGCAGTCAACAGTTGACCAGCGAAACTGTTCATCAGGCTTGTACAGAAAGCATGTCAAATTATTTTTTTTCTGTGGCAGCGGTGAAAAGATAAAATGCGAAAGGCCCTATATAGAGCCAGTGTTTGGTTTGTACATTCTGGCCTACTGTAGAAACATGGCGCTTCCCCCTGTAGATGGAAAACAGCTCATTCTGAGGTAAAGATTATTATTTTCATGTGAATATGCACTAATGTAAACATACCTATGACTATTATATTCAATATCTACCAATAGATCCTCCTAAATGTTACACACTGGACTTTTAAAGCAGCTCTGATCATGCCCAGACAAGTTGAATTAATAAGCTAATTAGAAGCTGGCAAAGTGCTGCAATGCTGATAAGGGAGTGTGGTCCAGGCAAAAATGTATATATTTAAGTCTGTTCAACTCAAATATAGTAGTGAAAATTGCCCTCATAATAATACAATATACAGACTTGTTAAGTAATGTAATCAAACTCAATATTGTATGTAATAGTTGTTATATTATATTATATTATATTATATTATATTATATTATATTATATTATAATAGAAACAAATTAAGGGCATACAGTGAAAAATAATAATAGTCAAATCTCAGTTTTCCCAAGCCTTGATGTTTTCTTTGGTATTTAAAATCAACTGGCAAGGGACACACAGGGCTGTTGTGTCCTATTGATTGAACTAGGGTCAAGTTCCCTCTCTGTGAGTTTGTACATGAGCACTTGAGGCTGCAATGACAATCAGTTTATACGACAGTGACAACAGGACATTAATGAGAGGGCAGGAAAGGAGAGGAAAGATAAGGTCGGAGCAACATGACAGAAAGGGGAAGAAAGGGGAAAAAAAGCAGAGCAATGAGAAACATCTTTTGTTTTACTCATTTGCTTCTTGTAAATGCCATTATGTTGGCCACTATTGTTTCATGGTTATTGTTACGCTTTCTGTAGATGCACGAGAGATATGGTTTCTAAGCCTCTCTAGGCTGAAGACTGAGGGAAGTGATAAGAGTGAAAAGCCATAATTTCACATTAAACAGAAATGATCATCCGCAGAAGAACTCATATTTGTAGATAGAGCACAGAGAGGAAGTCTCTAAACCAGATAGAACTCTCTATAGACTGTTGCTTTAATGTAGAAAGGAAGCTATTAGACGACTTTAGAGTCTGATAGCCTTTTTTTTTTTTTACCTGCCCTTCCTCCTTCATGAAGAAATGGTTTCCAAGACTGACACTCATCTGATTTGAGTCACATTGTTTGTCACGGGCATCAAGTGATAGGAATAAGAATCCATATAAAAAGCCATTAGTTTTCTATTACTGCCAAGCTGGATGGACAGGCACTCAGTGCTCAGCCGAATCACTGTGTTTAAAGTGTCAGGTTGGTTGAAAGAAGTCTACCTCTGTGGGGGCTCCCCTGCCACTTCCCTGGGGGCTGAGTGGCTGAAATGACCATAAAACTCTGTTGAGCTAGACAGCCTGTAATTTCAGCAGCGAGTGGCGCTTCGCCGAGGTATAATGGAAAGCCCGTGGAAGCCATGAAATTTGCTGCATCCCGGTGTTGGAACACCATTGTCTGAACACTCAGGACACCTCTCTAAACTTTAAATTACTGTTTTTAAGCCATCATTGTCTGAAAGAGCTCTGCATCTAAAAAGAAACACAGCGCTTGTTCAGTTTCTTTAATCTTCAGTGGTCTTTGCTGTTGCCACAGAAATCAGACGTTCACATTCTTTACTAGTATAAAAGTTAAAGACGCTTTGCCCATGAGAAATGGGAAAAATGGAAAATGTGGTTCTAAAGGTTGCTTTGTATAGGCACAATAGAGTTGCTCTTTCTCCCCTCTGTCTGTTGTATCTTTTTTATCATCTGTGGTGTGATTGTGGGTACAAGTGCCTTTTTTCACTCAGAACAGGAATGGATGAGAGAGGGCTTTGAGTGAGGAGGACAGGTGTGGAGAGGGATAGGTTTGTTTTTGGGTGTTCTTTTTTTGTATGAATTAACGTTTTATGTCCTGTGTATCACGATTTGAGTGTGTGTGTGTGTGTGTGTGTGTGTGTGTGTGTGTGTGTGTGTGTGTGTGTGTGTGTGTGTGTGTGTGTGTGTTTGCGTGTGTGTGCATCCATATCAGTCTTTGCAGCCATGGTAGAGCAACTATATACGTCGCGTTTTCTGAAGCATGGCTTTAGATGTGATGTTAGCAGCATGTCACATTGAGAGGCTCTCCGGGTGATTTGATAGGAGGGCGGCTGGAGATGGAGTTGGAGTAATGAAGTGAGTCTGAGTGGGGTTTGCTGCTGGAGGCCCAAGCCCATCACACCACACTGGCTGCATCTCTGCTGTGGTGAAAGGCAGAGAGAGAGAGAGAGAGAGAGACACAGACAGGCAGGGAGACAGAGACAGAGATTGTAACCTCATCACCCCGTAGCCAAATCTGCTTGTCTCCACTCTCCTTATTCGCACAGTTGAGATGCAGCATAACAGTAAGCACATTTGTTTTTAACTCATTGTAACAACAGACGGACTCTCTCTCTCTGACTGTATTACGGCCACATACCCTCCTCTGAGTTTCCTGAATGACAATGTCCCTCCTGCCAAAAGCAATACATTTTTATGTTTGCAGATAAACAAGCAGGTAGAAGCCCAGTATCATTACAATGCATCTCATCTAATCCAATTACTTAGAACCTTATGAAAAAGGCACAAATTGATGAATAAGTGATCAAGTAGCACCACTGTAGAACTTATAATAAGTGATACAGCTGCAATGCATATTTAAAGACAAGGCAGTATGTAAATGTCTGTGACATTAACATTCCAGCTGTTTAGGCTACTGTGGCCTGCAGTGGGGTGCACCATCAGCACTTTGTTGTTGTTTTTTTAATATGAATCTCATGCTTAGTGCAGGAATACAATGCTGTAGATGCATCTGTTAAAGTTTATCACTATATACAGTATAAATAAATAGATAATAGGTTGTAATGAATCCTGAAAATTAATTTACCTATTTTCACATATTAAGTTACTTATTCACTTATTCTGTGAGAAAACTATATTCAAAGGTGCTATATCTTTAGCTTTTTTCCAGGAGGTGATTATTATCACATCCATTTTGAAACATTGCCATAGTTACCTACCTGAATGCAATCATCACCAGGTAATAAATACCTTGCACATTTTTACTTGTGTGAATTGAATTTTTGGGAAGTGACATCAGCAAAGAGCTGCTCTCAAGGCACATTAAGGTAACTTTTTTGCACCTTGTCTACATAGGCTGCACAGCAAAATATGAGCTGAGAGCCAATATCACTCTCATGTCTGTTCTTTAAATAAAAAATAAATCCACAAGATAGTTAGCTTAGCTTAGCTTAACGACTGGTAATAGCTAGCATGACTCTGTCCAAAGGTTCAAAACGATCTGCAATACCAGCACCTCTAAAGCATAATTACAGTATTAACACATTATATTAGAATATGGCTAGCTGTTTTCCAATGTTTCCAGGCTTCGTGCTATGCTAAGCTAACCATCTCTTGGCTCAAGCAACATATCTTACAGACGTAAGTGGTATCTTTTCCTATCCTTCTGCAACAAAGCCAATAAGGGTATTAACAGAATGTTGAACAATCCCTATAATTGTGAGAAACAAGCAGTACCAACAGCACTGGCTTGAGATTAAGGCTGGCACTCGATTCATTTCTTCATGGTAATTAAAATGTGTCACAATTAATCTGACAATGATGTATTGCTATTAAAAATCCCTCCCATATTACCCTTTAAAAAACACCATAACAAATGACTATATAACACACTGAGAACTGAAGTGAATAACACCTTTTAAATGAGTCAAGTCAGTTGCTGTTTATCAGATACTGAGTTTCCCAAGAATTTGCAACCAACTGAATACCAGAACGAAAAAAAAACTGCCCTTACTAAAGCTGTTTCTGGGTTTGTGTGTGTGTGTGTGTGTGTGTGTGTGTGTGTGTGTGTGTGTGTGTGTGTGTGTGTGTGTGTGTGTATGTGTATGTATGCATGCATGCATGTGTGTATGCTCGCTTGTGTAAACTAAGGACAAGACAGCCTGAGGTACGTTACAGTACCTTTGAACTTAAGGCTGAAAAAAGTGGTCAGGCTGGGTCAGAATGAGTGAGTCATGGCAGTGAGAGAGAGACAGAGAGAAAGCAAGAGGAAGAAATGTGCATTGGATTGTGATTCACTTACTGGGCAGCTGTGATGTGAACAGTACAGACAGAGCAACTTTGCACACGCTACTCCCAATAAACCTACTTAAGTGGATTAGCAATGCCACCCTGGGGGCCTCCACAGACTTAAAGCTCTTATCACAAACACACACCGAAACAAAACATACTATTTTTATCAGTTCCCTTGGTTTGTGGGGAAAGTGAGTTTGGGATTTAGCCGAGATGTCCGGTATAAGCATGGAAGCAATGGCCAAAAGGGACATATGATATCTTTCTCATGCGCACACAAATGCACAACTACTGGGTTTATGTTGCATGCCGTGAAGAGAGTGCATAGCTTGGCACCGAGGCGTGAGTGAGACCTGGTTGCTATTCAGGACACCTGTTGTAGCAGCCCGGAAACAGATGTAGCACATACTTTCCCAGTTTGATGTTGGACACAATTGGCAGCTGCTGAAGAGTAAAAAATTGTGCCAAAAAAATTAGGCCCTGTGCTTTGATTTTTTTGTATGTGTATGTATGCTCATCTGTCATGTGCTTATGACTGAGCCCCTGCCTCTCTTTCTATGTTTGTGCTGTGATTCATGTTTGTTATGCAGGTCAAGGCTGGCTGATTACATGGTGAACTGCTGGGTGACTCCGAACACAGTGAGCACCTGTCCCAACCAAGACAATCACCAAGCCTGTTTGGCCTCCTACGCAAGGCTCATCGGTCAGTACAGCCAGGGCTGTGGGTGACACGGTGATGGAGTGAGAGCATGTTTGTTTGTGTGTGTGTGTGTGTGTGTGTGTGTGTGTGTGTGTGTGTGAGAAAAAGCTGGAGTGGAATGATGGGAGATGTACATAAATGCACATTTACCTCAGAATGCCACAGTATTTTTCTCTAATTTCAGATGGTGAGATAGAGAGTGATTGTTATAGACAGCACAACATCAGTTTACTTTACCTTCACTTTCATCATGATGAGCAGGCAGAGGAGTGACACTCTCAGTTTGTTCCCTCCTGGCCTGATATCTCCCCCAGCACACTGGACATCATTTCACTACTAGAAGCAATTAGGGAGTAGAGGCACAGAGAGAGCGTTTACTTAATTAAAACTCTTGATGGCCATCTGTTTGCTCATAGTAAATGTTGCTCAAACAATGTGTACGGACTAGTACATGCATATTTTTCAATCCCTGTCAAAGTTTGATAACAGCACCATGGTGATGTTGCGGCGGCTTCACAGACTTTCAAATGCAAATTTACATTAGATAACTTTTTTTTCTCCATATTGGTTACTGAAGTGTCCATATTTTGGTATCAGTCAATGCTTCCCCGCCCCACGTGTCATAAATCGTGCAGTGTGAAGTGCTAATATGCCATGCTGCTTCCTGGATTTCTCTGGAAAATGCTACACAAAGTGCATCTAACACCCCTGACTCCAGCTGAAAGCACAGACACAGACAGATATTTGAAAAGTAAAATGTTTTGGTACAGCAGTGCTATATTCAAACAGACACTTCCTAAAGCACCTACTTTGCAAAATATTCATAACATAATGGCCTCTTTAAATCTAAAATAAAGCATTACAGAATGCTTCACCTTCCCATAAACTCAAACAGTGCAAACCTATTCCTATGACTAACATCTTGTTGTCCATTTTATACACTATTTACAATAACTGTAGTCCATTATTGTCCATTAGTGACCCATAACTGTTTGTCCTAATGTATGTATGTATGTGTGTGTTTGTGTCTGTGTTTGTGTGTGGATGCCCCTTACAGGGACAGACATGACTCCCAACTATGTCGACAGCAGCTTCTCCAACTGGACCGTCTCCCCATGGTGCACCTGTAAGGGCAGTGGAAATCAAGAAGAGGAATGTATGAACTTCCTGCACTACTTCACCGATAACACATGCCTAAGTGAGCCACTCTCTTTACTGTACTACTCTGCATGCATCTGAAATGTGTTTTGTAAGTGATAGGAAACAGTCATGTAATATTGATAAGACCATAAGCGCATGTGGCTGTAGTTACTCTTGCTGTCAAGAAAGAGTAAGAGTGAGCCATGAACTTTGATCTAATGCAACTTTAATGGTTTCATGTCAGATTCTGTTTTTCAATGTCTTAGAGCTTTCCAGTGAGATGACTGTAGATGTGATGTTGTTGTGGAAATAAAGAGGTGGTGTGAGGGGGGAGGGGGGTCTGGATACTCTTCAGACATCCAGGTATTAAAATGTCAAAAGAAAATTAAGTTAATTTAAACCTTAATTTATAAAAATTTAAATAAAGAAATGTATAAATAATTTAGAGGAAATAAAGCTGGAAGGATTAAATGAAAATATTTATGGATTAATGGAAGGATGGAACTTCTTGAAGTCTTAATGAAAATTTGTCTACTACATAGTTTGATACAATTTATCCATGGACACCCCTCTGCCCGCTGATTAACTTGGAATTAAATGTTCTTAGTTTCTCAGAAAGTCATTTCTTATCATTTCTCATCCCTCCTTTGGGCAAGATCTGCCCAGACTTTAATACAAAAGAAACCATTTGCATGTAATTTTCACATTCAATCTGAGAGCGTTAAAGGGCTTATCCCTTACGGGAGAAAAATGTCATGAAAAGGAACAGATCCAGCACAAATGAAATAATAGCAGAAGCTAAAATACATATCATCTGTACATCTAATGCATAACACACAGGGCGCAGCACGACAGAGTGGTTACTTAAAACATCCTTGTGCTTTTTCACTGAGAAGTAAAATACAGTGAGCTCCTTCCTTGCTATGGCGGAGCGAGCCGTGTCATCAGTGCTACAAGACACCATTGCCTTTAACATGTTCCATTGTGTGGATAATGCTTTCAGACCATTTCAATAGATTGCTGGGGTACCATTTTAGCTGAGTGTGCAGGATGAGGGATGAGGCTGGGAGCTGAGGAGGCGTCTTGAAAAATAACACAAAATGCAGCATCTCCTCTCTGCAGTCAAGGGGAACAGGCGATAAACTTCGACACACCAGAGAGGAGAATATACACAAAAATACACTCAGTATACAGTACTACATATATACAGAGTATATGTATATGTATATATTCTCGACCCTCATCAACCCCGCAATCTCAACCCTGTGTTTCCACTTTCACTGTTTAAATCATTTTTTACATTGATTGACAAACCAGAGCACATTGCAATTGAAAACCATTTGATACACAAATCATATATTATCCACACTCTCCTCTCCACTGTCTTCTCACAAGATCAAGCAAAAAAACAGAAGACTAGTATTAATATTTATTCAGTGTGGAGGCCAACAGAAAACATTCCAGCTAAAATGATCTTATAATTAGAGTCCAAACATAATCTGAACCCTGATCCCCCTCCCATTTTCTGACTCTGTTCCTCTTGTTCTTGTCTCCCTTATCTCTTACTCCATCTGTCCCTGCAGGTAGGCCAATGCATGCTATGCCCAGGGGTTAAAGGAAAACTTATACAGAGTCATTAAAAAATTGAATTGCTATTGGCAATGAGCTTAATCACTCAGTGGAACATTTGGGTGCAGTAAAACATCCTGCGTGGAGGCCCTCCAGCCAACTAGTTTGATTTATGACTTTATCCCTATATCTTACAGCATCTGTAGGGGGATTGCTTGCTATAACCGGCCCTGACAAACGCGATGCGTAACATCACAGCAGTACTTCCCTAGCTCTTAACAGCTAGCATTAAAGTTGTTAGACTTCACTGGTGAGCTCTGCTCCTCTCTGTGCTGTTATTTTTTCCTGCAGGAGCCCAAATCACCAGTGTCGAACAGAATAAGAAACATGAAGGCTGCTTTTGTATGTGTTAAGTGTGCAGGTGTATGTGTGTGCCTTTGTGTGTGTTTTGCTATACAGTATGTATAGTTCTGTGAGTGTGTGTGCAACACTGTGTAGGTGGATGTAACAGACACGTCTATGGGGCCATGCATCAGGAGTACTAAGCACTGTGTGTGTGTCCATCCGATTATGCCAACGTGTTCCACTACTAACTATCCTATTTGTCCTTTGTGTGGTGGTGGGGAAATGCCATTTCTCTTTTGTTTGGGAATGTTTTGAATTTGATCAGTCACATAAATCTATTCAAAGTCATCTCTGCATACTGACCTTATAATGGAGGTGGTTGCCAAGCAATTACATGCCTTGCCTTCTCTCCGGCTGAACAAAGAGAAACAAGCCTCGTGTTTTAAACGGATGAGCAGTGAAAAGGTACTCAGCCCCTATTTTACCATATCTAGCTGAAAAGCTGACTGAACAGGGATTTATCACATTTTTGCAGAGGCTCACACATACACTTAGACACAAAATTACACACATGCCTACAGTACATCTGCAGGAAAGCACTCATTTCGAGCTGATTGATTTGCTACTTTTAAAAGATCCCATTTCTGAGTGTACAACTGCTGGCAAACAAATTGGGGTTCATCATCTCAAGTGCTACTATTTGGTCAGCTTGTTGCAATTTGAGAACGGCTGTTGCAACATAAAAGGGTTTTTGTAATGAGCTGAGGACATGAACCAAAGTTGTTTGTATGTGATAAATGTGTCCATTGTGTCTCCACAGGATTCCTTATACAAGGATAATTACTTGCTAAATTGATAGCATAAACATGTTAGGCATTCAAAAGGCATAGCTTAATATATTAAACACGAGGCTGTATTTGTATTTTGTATTTTGACAGTAAAATCCTCCCCAGTGACTTGATTTTACAAACAAACCTGTGATTGCTGTTATTGATTAGTTTGGCGCACAACTTTCAAGCTTACTGACAAAGCAAAAAGACTAGCTCACTATACTCTTTTTACTCCATCCTTTCTCAATCCCACTCCGCCTTGCCTCATTCCCTCGGTTGCTAAAGATTGGGCATGGGACCAAGAAGTTGACTTAGAGCTGTCTGTCTGCTTGCTGGGTCTGTGCTGGGATGGCAGTCAGAAAATAAATGACTTTATATCTCTGTCCCTGCAGGAAATGCCATACAGGCCTTCGGTTATGGGATAGACAACATGCAGAACAAAAATGTGTCTGTCCCAGCTCCCTCAGCAACGGCGAAGATGGGGTCGGATTGGTCAGCTGGCACCTCAGAACCTCCCTTTGTCATCATCTCAAAGGTAATAGGTTTTCCTGAATTGTTTCATTGCTTGGGATATTACAAATTTTATGTAATTTATATGTAAAATGTAATGCTGCAGAGTCATTATTTACTGCTTGTCAATCAGGTTGCATTTTGAATCAAGGGTATTAATCCTGGAGTCTATCATATCATCTATAGGTCGCCTCATTATGTGAAATTTAAAGAGAAATAATTTTCTGTTACAATACATGCAGTACAAATACATCCATGCATACACAAATCCACACGTTTCCAGTAGTTTCGTGCAACTTCTTTGCATACATTTGTCAAAATGGACCAATTGCAAAAAGAACCACAAAATACTCCTCCACTCCGTACATGGAAGGAGGATTTTGTACAGCGACGAAATCATGAAGCTTAAAACACTGCACCATTCACATTCACATCACATTCAATCTCTATGCTCGTTAAAGCAATTGGCACATCAGAACAGACACTTTATGATAAGACAGTTCATGCTACACCCAAGATGATGACATTTGGTTGAAATATTATATTTCTCTCTCACACAATGAAATAGTGAAAGAAATGGGAGGTGGGGGTTTTAATCTGGATTAGAGGTTCTAAAATACTGGCCCAGGGCCTGTTCTCTGCTGAATGCCGTCTACTCTGAAGACTGCAGTCAACTCAGCTATAACTGAGTTCACCGTCTGGAGCAAAAAAACATCACTCTTTGCTGTGCTGCAAGAATGCACGTGTGTTTGTCTTTTAATAGAACTGTACTTCATTTTCTCTTCAAATAAAATGTGAAAATGACAGAACCATATTGTCCGCCAAAGACTCCCTCTCCTCTCTGTCTCTTTTGAACAGGACAGAAATATTTCACTGCACTTTGGGCCAATGAGAAGGTTTCTTTCTAGTCTTTTTTTTATCTAGCTGTTGAGTTTGATTAGTTTTCACAATGAAATATTGTGCGGTTTTACAGATGTACTTTAGATGTGCCGTGCAGCCTTCTGGTGTAAGACTAATGATGTTTTTCACCTTTGCAGGAGACCTAGTTACCAATCCCTTCTGTATTAGACACTGTAATATAAAACTGTACTTTGTAAAACCCGCTGCAGCTGTTGCTGCTGCTGCTGTTGATGTGATTGTTAATGTCTGTTTTCAGTGACTATAACAGATATACACAAAATCCAAGCAGTGTGCAGTGTTTATGAATGCAAATTTGCGTGCTGAATGAATGACTCCCATTAGACATCTATTTTGAGTAATTCCAGGGGCTTTCACAGCCATTAAATGGTCACACTGCACCCGAGTCATGCAGTATTGTCCTTTACGCAGAAATCCTCATTGTTGTGAAGACAGCAAATTAAAACCTTAAAAATGGTGCAAAGAAGAGAATTAATGAACAAGCACCAGCGATAACAATAACAGTGTGTATGTTTGGAAAAGGTGCTGGAGAGAGAGAGAAAGAGAGAGAGAGGATGGCGGGAAGGGAATGAATGGTGGAATTGCTCTCTCCAAAGGTTCTGTGTGTGTATGTCAGTATTGATGCACCGCTCTGTGCCTGTCTCACTGCAGCGTGGTGTTTAATTTATTGTAAAAATGGTAATTAGGAAACAATAAGACGTGTGATTACTCAAGCAGGAAGTTTATAATTAGAGAGGGAGCTGGTAGGGACATTTTGGGCGGCCCTGCGTACTCAGACAACTATGCCTGGCAATTAAAACTTGTCAAACTTCCCTGGCAGATAAATTGGGGGAGTGATGTTATGGTTTGAGTCCTCTTGGCAGAAGACTGACTGTCCAAGGCTGTAAATCTTACAATAGCCAGCACGGGCCCCATAGTACCACACACACGTGCATGTACACATGTGTAAAAGTCTGGCTAACAGAATACACTAGGTTTGTAATGAATCGATGGTGACAAACTGCGACACCAAAGAATAACCTATAATATGAAGCACAGTTAGAGAAGAGTGAGTATATGAGAATCTGTGGTCTGTGACTAAGCCTGTTCATGTCAGTCATGCTGCTCTCTTATAGTGTACAGTGTATTTTCAGCTAATTTAGATTCATAATTATTCAAAATGTCACAGCCAGTGGTCGTGGGCTTTATCCCATGCTCAGTGAGTAAACATGTGGGCTGAAGCATGGTCCTGTGTGTCTTGTAAGTCAGGGGGGTGGCCATCACAAGTTGCTTTGTTTACATAGATAAAAACAATAATTTCCCCGTATATTAACATGATTCTGTAAAGTTTGATGAGGGAAATTATATGGCCCCAGTGTTATTTTTGCTATATTCCCAGGGTTTGTGTGGGTCTCACACATTAGATCGATTCTGTGTGTCTTATAATTGTATTCCTTATTTGAATTTTAATGTCCTCATTTAACTGAATATTGAAGGAAATGTTAAAGTTGAACTGTTAATTTTTATTGCATTTCAAGGTTCATTTTCAATATAATATAAGCCAACCTCTGTATGTGCAAAGCCCCTCTCCAACCTTGTAGCCTTTGGGAAGCTGGTGTTGTCTGTGTTCTCATGTAACACTGTCCTGTGTTGATTTTCAGCTCAATTGAATAGAATTGATTGAGGACACAAACTACGTAACTCGGGGTTACTCGATAGCTAGCCTCAGGAGATGCAACACGATTGCACGCGATTTGACAATAAGCTGATTATAAAGAAAATCACTCGCTGTCTACATTTGTAGTAACCTGTTCAATGGCAAGTGGAATATATTCTTATCAACAATTTAAATAAATGCTTATGGATGTTTCCTATCCCCTCTCTATCTCTCTGTACATGTCTTAAAGCATGAGTAAATGTCAATGCGTTTTGACATTGTCTGTATTCCGTCATGGCTAATGCATGTGTTTGTGCTTTTAGCCTTGTGTTTATGTGTGTGCGTACGTTCTCATGAGCTTGAGTGTATGTGTGGATATTGGCTGTAGCAAAAGATCTGGACTCATGTCAACAGGCTGCTGCCACACATCACTGCCCTTGCTAATTAATTGGCTTTTAGTCGCGGATGTGTTTGGTGCATTGTCAAGCTACCCATAGCTTCCCCCCCCCCTTTTTTTTGGCAACTGTCTTTTAACCATTTCTTTGTACAGCGTTGAGTATGCACAAGCCCAGGTACTGTGATAACTGCAGCTATTTTGGATACCCAACCTTTCTCTCTCTCACTCTCCCTCTTTCCCTTTTCCTGTTACAGGAAAAAATATGCCTGTCCTGTTAATATAATTCAACACCATTTTCTGTTTCATTATTTATTTTCTCATTTATATGTTGCCTTGTTCTGTTGGAAGATGAGGTGCTTGTAGATAACATCTGAGTAGATGTTTTTTCTGTGTACAGGAAAATGGACCAAAGTGCAATCTCTGCAAAGGTTACATTGGTGAAGATGAGTTGAGGGTATGGTGGTGGTGGTGGTGCTGGCGAGGAGGAGGAGGAGGAGGAGGAGGAGGAGGAGGAGGTGGTGGAGGAGAAAATGTTTCATGTTCCTTATGATGTGCCTCTGTATTGCTGTGCTGGACTGAAAATGGTGCCTCCGCAAATTGAGTGAGACTGCTTTAACTTGGAGGCAAATGGTTATGCTTTGTGTTACAAGAATCCCAGAAAATTGAAAAAGTATTCAAAATGCTAACAATTTTATGGAAAAGCACATAATAAGGCCATTGTAGTGTGGATATAACAGTGGAACTGCAGGCCATAGAGTTTAATATCTGGTCTGATGTGTTCCCACTGCTCTCTGCCATTATGTGAACGGTGTAGTAAACTACATGGCTTTCTCTCAGTTTACACGTTGTACATACGTTTATTTTCTCTTGAGGGTAAGAATAAACCTTGTAATGTTTTGATTGTGCAGTCAAACTGCATACAAGGGGTCTTGCAAGTGTTTTGTTCGGCCTCTACTTGCTGTAATTTATGCCTTATGAAATATTGAAAGAAATCCACAGCTGCTGTTGGCTTCTGTAGTGTGTGTTTGGCTTTGTAGCATGTTTTTCTTGTAAATAAAGTCTGTAATGATAGCTTTAAAAAACGTTTAGAGACTTGCTGGAACAACCTAAAAGTGTTTTTTTTAAAGAAAAAGTCATCACAAGAAGCTTTCCTTTGTTGCCAACTTGTTTAAGAAGCAGAGAGCATACTAAGCAGCAGGGGCTTGAAATATACTTCACATATCAAAACATTTGGTGGATCAAACACTTAATGTTCGTGCCAAAGTGGGTCTGCCATGGATACATGTCATTTCTTACTCTTGCTCTGACTTTCTGACTCCTGCTCTCTCTTCTTCTCCTCAGCTCTGATCCTGTCCTGTCTTACCTTCCTCAGCACGAGTGACTGAGTCATGTCTAACCTTTACACATCTCTCTCCCTCTGTGTGTCCCTCTATCTGACCAGTATCCTGAACCAAGAGACGGTGGCCTGGACAAAACCGGGGGCCTGCCAGAGGATCACTCTGCCTGTCTGTGTGCCAATGTCTGGGCTCTAGTTCCCGGCCTGGCTTTGGCTCTGGTCCTGGCCCAGCATGCCTTATAGAAGCGCCAGGAGGAGAAAAAAGAGGTCATCCACCCACAAGCTGATCCCAAAAGCAGAAGGTGTTATTTCTGAGACTGATATTAAGAAGGCTGAATCTCCAGGCAGTTGACGTAAATGGCATTTATGAAAGAAGAAAAAAACAAAAAGAAGAAGAAAGAGGTGGAAAATATTGAAATTTTACTATCGTGAATTTGTTGTTCATTTGATGTATTGTTAGGGCGGACCAATGTGATGAAGCACATGGCTTTAAAAAGGACCCTTGGTAGGAGAAACCATGAAAGCCATTCTCTGGGAATGAATCTCCCTCTGACTGAGACACAAAAACCTGGAGGCCTGAAGCTGATCATGTTAAAGACTTCTGCACTTTTCTCACCAAAGGAGGGAGAGAGGGAATGAACAACATAATTAAAAGAAGACAGGATTGACAGTAAAGAAATTGTTGCAGAGAGAAAAGGAATGAGCAAGAGATAAATGGGTAGAGTACAGGCAAAAAGAGAGAGAGAAAGAGACATTTCTGCTATCAGTCACACTTTTTTTGTCTTGAATTGGTTCTCGACTTAATCTTCTCTTGGATGAACAGACCACAAATTTAGGGGCGGGGATGGGGGATGATCACATTCTGTCTCTTCAACACAAGTGTAAACTCTAAACTGTAAAGCCTACTCAGTGTTCTAAGTGTTGGTATAGTATCCGTGACCATAATCAATTTACAGTACAGCTCTTTCATTTGGGCGCTACAGTAAACTTTTTCAGCAGGCTGTGAAAAGAACTAAATACGGCAACATTACCAGTTAATGGTTCTTTGGTCATTTGAGATGTTGTTGTTGATAACTGTGGGTGTACGCCATACGTCCACCTGCACATGTGTATAATTCTGTCATGTATATAAAATTTCTTTCATTCAACCGAATTATATCTTCAGTACCTTGAATGGACATAACTGTTAACCTAAGATGGCTCTGTTTTGAGTATTGGTACTAATGGAAGGCCTTCATTATCTGCGTTTATATTTGTCTATAAAGGTTTGATCATAAAGAATGTCTACAGGGATGAGATTAAACGAGCTCAAACTGCTTGGAAAGCCATAACCTGTGTGTGAGTATCATGCTGTGTTCACTGAGTGTGTGTGGACAATTATTACAATGTGTATGCGTCTATGTTTACATGCAGGAGAAAAGTAGTTCATAAGGAGCAGTTTAAATTGCCAGTGTGGGAGTTTGCTCTATCCCCTCAGAGAGCAGAGGTTATGATGCATAGTGTAATTAACGGCAGGTTTTTGGAGGGTAAGGACATCCACCAGTTTTGGAGAGTGTCTGTGACCCAGCCTTTTAACTCTATTGTTCCTCCTTTCATAGAATATTTTACAGACCCCATACTGTAGGCCTCAATTCACATATATACGACCATATCTATTTACTGAAAACAATTTGAACATGTCCTTTTTTGTCCAAAGTTTGTATTAAGCTGCAACTTTAAAATGTAACTTAACAAAACGTTGTAAAAATGTAATAACTTAAAGGAATAATTCAACATTTTAGAAAAGACATTTTCTTTCACTCTCTTGCCAAGAGTTAGATGCAAAGATTGATACCCTTGTCATGTCTGTACACTAAATATGAAGCTAGCGCCAGCAGCCGGTTAGCTAGCATAAACAGGGAAACAGCTAGCTTGGCCCTGTCCAAAGGTAAAAAAATATGACTACCAGCACCCAAAGGTGCCAAATTAAGTATTTACCTTTGGACAGACCTTTGTTTGTATTCTTTGCGCTAAGCTAACTGGCTACTGGCTTATTTAGCAAACAGAAGTGAGAGTGGTATCGATCTTCCATCTATATCCCAGCAAGAAGGCGGCAGTTTTATACTAACTTTATACCAAATTTACGTCATAAAGAATTGGTTCACATATTTTCGAGTCCTTTCAATACTGAAAGGCCTCATATATATTGAGAAAGCTATTTGCTGTAAGGACTGTGGATTTTGTCCCCTGTGTTGGAGTAACTCTAGAAAGAAATCTCATCAGGGCCAGTGTGGACAGCGACCGTAACATTTCGACATGTGAGTGTCACATTAAAAACTCTCTGAAGTCATTCACATTGCAGCATTACAACTGGAAAGTCTCCAGTGGGTAGATTTCACTGCTTAAAACTAGAGGAGCTGATGTCTTCAGCCAATCAGCAGTGTCCACTATTGAGAGGACTAATGTATTATATTTATTCTGTATTACAGTATATTTGCAAACAAGAACAAACAAACTGAATAGTGTTGGAACTTTATTTTAGCCAATATATCACTGTATTTAAACAAGAATAAGAATATTGTTTTAGCCATGGTGCATTCCTTTTCTTTTCAACATATACAGCCTCTGACATGCTGAGAAAATACTCAAACTTCCATTGGCATGTTTGCCAATGAAAGATGTATTTTTGTATGTTTATGCATACGTATTTTTTTTCCTTGCAGTGAATAAATGTTGACTGATGCACAATCAGTGTTTCCACCAAAATGTTTATGTCTTCAGGCGGCACATCAAGTCTAGCGCTCTGCCACATAAATGCATGCTACTGAACCAAACAGCTTTATGTTACTGGCTGATTTAGAAAAAGGTTTACAATCTGTCACGGGAACAGATGTCAAATTAAACTCTGCTCAATATGTTATTGCTAACTGTGGTTGCACCATATACACTGTGGTCAGGTCTGGGAGAAATTATAGTCATTACCTAAACTGGTGGGTTTACTGCTCTGGGCTTCTGAGAATATAAAATGTCAGACACTTGAATATAATATATATAATTTTTCATCCTGAGCTCCACATTCAACACATTTTAACAGTGACATCGTGTTTGATGTTTTGGCTCAGCCTTGTTATCATTTTGGATGTCAAAAGATATGGTTACTCTTCGAGGTAAAAAGTACAGGCAGTTCCATTTTAGAGATTTTTCACCAGGCTTACAGCAAATAATCACACATTTGTAACATCAGTCATCATTTCAAACAACCAACCAAGTATTTTAAAAGATAAAATGACACAGATTACATAATTTGTGCTTTCTATCTACAACCCATCTCAAGCATTTTTTTTTTCATCAGATATTGTTACTGGCAATGCTGCAGCCCTTTTGAATTATAATGCAGCCTTGTTAAAGTTTACATGCTGCTCTAAATTACTCTCATGGTATAGAATACATGATTTGCAAATATTGTTGTAAAAAATAGCAAATAGGTTTGCAAACAGTTCAACTTAAACAGATCTATCTAATCATCTATCTAAAATAGGTCTACGACATCAACAGCAAAAGTCAGTCTCAGTGTTTGAGAATCAAAAAGCATCTTACATCAACATTAAACAATTTCTGAGCTAGAAATCCATCAAAGATGAAGCAGAGCTGCCAATTCTACAGCAGCCCCAGTAGTCCATAATGCAATACAGCCATAATATAGCGCAGACCCAATCACAGACACAACCCAGTGCTCAAGATTGTTTCTCCAACACAGACATGGGTCCTTTTTATAGCATGAAAACCATATTATTTTTCTATGTTTGCATTCTCATATTAAATTTAAAATATAGTAAATTTGAGCTCACTATGGCGAGATGTGTTTGTCCAGTTTGACAGTTTGGCCCTTCTTTACTTGTAGTCATTTACACCTCTATGTATTTTACATTGTGCTTGAATAATTTACAGCTCAGTAGCGTCTACAGCAGGATTATTACTGGGACATGGTAAAATGCAAACAGACTGCAGCATTTGTGCCTGGATGATAACAGGAGTCTGATGTTGTTTCTGGGTTATATACTGTGAGAAGTCACTGACTGACACTTCATGTTCAACCATAAAATGTTTTTTTGGCTTTCAATCTATGTGGAGCAAAATGCCTCTGCAGCATGCCATAAATGTAAATTATAGCGTTTACCTGTTAGTAGTATATTCTGTTCCATAAATGCAACATGAAAGTGAACTTCTGCCCTGCTGTGTATATTTTACAGTCTGCTCAATCAGAAAATTTACAGTTGAAAGCTCTCTGGGCTCCCTGTTTACGCAGCTGTCACCAGAACAATGCTGCCTATAGCTCCCTGCCTATTAATCAAACTTTGATTTGATCAGTTTGTTGCTTACTTTTCAGAAAAATTGATGACGCAGTGCGATAATTACGATTATATAGTCAGCTTCCCATAAAGGCGATCAAAACTGGCAGATAAATTAAGGATTTTGACATGTAGAAAATGCAAATAAACTGATCAAAATTCTAAACCTGCCCTCTCTCTATTTTACCCTCCCAAGAGTGGGTCTGAGTTTGGGGTGAAAAAGACAGGACATCAGCAGTTCTTACACAGCTTAAGAGAATGTACATGCAGGAGACCTACAGAACACACAGGGATTTAATGGGTGATATTACAGGTGCAGGAGTGCAGCAATGGGACAGCTTAAGAAGAGGCTAAATAAAAAACTTTCATAGGGGTAAAAAGTAAACGGTGGCAGCTGGGTTTGGTTGTTAGATGTAAAGCTAAAATGATATGGTTATCTGTCTGCACAACCATAATTTAAGCTACTGAGACAGAAATCTAATCAATGTGTGTCTGTGTGTGTAGAACAGAGTGCTCAGCTGCAGAAGTGCAAACTAGTTGCAGAGTTGTGGGCACTTCTTTTGCCCTCGTGTCCTTGCATTCCAGTGTTAAAGCACCAAGTTTGTGTTCACGCTCGTCTCTGCGTGTGAACACATGTGTACACAAGGCTGTGTGCATGCGGATATGATTGGGAAGGAGTAAAGAATCTTGAAACAGCAAATTTGCTAGGAAAGCATTTTTTTTTTTTTTTTTCAAAAGGAATCCTTGTGGAGTCCAGTTTGTTTCTTCTCTATACAGACGGGTAAAAGAGGAGAAGCGGAGGGGTTTTGGGGGCACGGGAATAAGAAAGCGGCAGGTAGCTGTACATTTCACAGTTGATTAATGAGTCAGTGGGATGATGTCTCTTATCAACACTCTGCACATGGCGGAGAGAGAAGAAAGGTTTACTGGGGCTAGGAATGCTCCAATCACAGACGGCTCCCATTGCCATCCCATCATTCCTTTCTGTGCTCACCCACCTGTTTTTGTGGGGCTCTCTTCTTCTCGTCTCCACAGCAGTTTGTTGCTGATGCAATTGGAACCCTTACCCTGTGTTAGGTAAGGTGCCAATGAGTTTTGTCTGAGAAGTGTGTGATACATCTGCTACTGTGGAGTTCACAGTGTGTATTATGGTCTTTGTTTAGCGATTACTGCAGGAACTGATGTAAACGCTCGTAATAAGTTGTTAATGTGGCTTGTGTCATCATGCAAGAGAAAAGTATAGTAGGCTGCCTGCTGACAGCCGAAATAGATCTGCCAGTAAAATGTTTGGTAATAGTTACAGATGTGCTTGAAAATATATCACTTTCACGCTTGACAGAACTGGATGTTTGATATAAACTCTTGTTTATCAAGTTTGATACGCAGCCTGGATGTGTTGATTCTTGATAAATATGTATGGCATGCACTAATGACTCTCGAAACCACTGTGATATGGGCTAAGAATGATAGTTCTTTCAATGCAGGGGCAGAAGAATCCCAGCCACAGAATGCATTCTTAGCTCTGTGATACAGTGTGAAAATAAATCACAGGGGGAAAATGAGAAAAGAAAAAGCAGCAGACAAATAAATTCAAAGTAATGGACTGCTCATATGTTGTGTGTAGTATATATCCTTGTGATACTAAAGGTTACTTTAATACCAGCAACAATTTTTTTAGATATTTTTGTCACGAGCAGTAAGCCAAATTATTTTCTTTGTGCTTTCATTTGTTCCACCTAAGGTGTTAATATTTTACTATACTGTGAGAAATCCTTCCTGGTTGATCAATTTGCATTGATATTAATGCCTGTTGTAGGGAATTAAAGTGATTATGGAGAGACAGAGGCAACACCAGTGAATCTAGCTTTCTCAGATGGACTGCAGTGCTCGCCTGTTGTTGTCATGAAGAATTTTTGCCTTTCTTAGATAAATCAGAGAAGACAGAGATGTGAAACATAAGAGAGAGAAATGTGAAAGCCGATCTGTTTGATTTAAACCCAGAACATCACAGTAACATGGTATTGGTTATGCCACCAGTTTCTTTTCTCTTAAGTTTGCGTACAATTTTGCATATTATTTGCAACTGTCGGAGAAGGAATAATAATACCTGACACTAGAAATAAAAAGGGCAAATCCACCAAGTTTTAATCATGCAACATGGGAAGCTCTCATTAGATTAACTTTGCTATTTTAGCTAACATGACAAAAAGTTCTAAATGACACAGTCTCACTTATTATAACATTCGGGTTGCATTTTAGAATTTCAACATATGCTTCCATTAAATGTATTTTTCAAACACACATTAAATAAAAGAAAGGTTGGCCAAAGCAACACCTAAGTGGTGGTGGCGGTTCCAGATGGCAGCCAGAGGTAATTGAAAAATGTGAACTTCGATACCATGCATTCATGCAACCCAAGTGGTGGCTTTACACAAATATACAAAGTACAAAATATTTTTTCCTGAATTTTCTCTATCACAAGACATATTTTATCAATATAAATGACACATTTGCAGTGTTTTTTAATTGTTGTTTTTTGAACATTATATAATATCAAGCCTGAAAAACCTTTTATTGTTGAAATATGTTTGTCATGTCTGTTCATGTCATTCCTGAGGAATATTTTAATCAAAGTCTAAGAAACTGTGTCAAATCAAGTCATATTTTATTTGTATAGCCCAAAAGCACAAATCAGAATATTCCTCAGGAGGTTTTACAATCTGTACAGCATACGTCACCCTCTGTCCTTAGACCCTTTAATTGAGTGAAGAAAAACTCCCTCAAAATCCCCTTTAACAGGGAAGAAAAATTGGAAGAGACCTCAGGAAGAGCCAAAGAGCAGGGATTCATCTCTAAGTACGAACAGCAAATGTTGCATGTGCACAGCAGAAAATCATACTATATAAAAAATACGATGACAACATTTCTGATAGATTATATCTGCATATAATTTGGCCAAGAGGTGAAATATATAGAGGGAACAGCAAAGGGCCAACAACAGAGCCCTAAGGTGCTCCATGTTTTACATTGGTAAATACTGATGCATTATTATCGGAAACACATGTTATTTCTGATGGGTAGGACTTTAACCAAGCTAGAGCCAGGCCAGAGATGCAAAATAAGCTTTTGTGCCAGTCCAGGAGTATGCCGTGGTCTATGGTAACAAATGCTGCACTGCGATTCAGTAATAGAAGAACCAAGGTGGAATTTGAGCCAATACTAAATAAAATGTCATTTACCACTTTGGTAAGTGCAGTTTCAATGGAATGACAGGCCCTGAAAGCAGACAGTAAAGATTCAAACAGATCCTTGTTAATTTAGAGTGCAGAAAGTTGCTGAGACAAAACTCTTTCTAGTACTTTTGAAAAGAATGGAAGGTTGCTGTCGTGAAAGGAGCCA